AGCATCGAATGTTGGATGGTCTCCTCAAAGATGAAGAAGGGACTAGAGGCAATGGAGGTATGGTTCTACAGAAGGATGCTAAGGATATCATGGACTGAGCATATGAGCAACGATGAGGTTTTGAAAAGGATGAAAACAAGGAGGAGGCTTATACTTAATGTCAAGAAGAGGCAGTTGAAATTTCTGGGACACGTAATGAGAAAGGAGGGCTTGGAGAATCTGATACTCACATGTCGAATAGAAGGAAAGAGAGACAAGGGAAAGCAATGCGGGCTTAAGCAACTGGATGACAGAACATGACCTGGTGGGAAGTAGCAAAGGGACAAAATTTATTGAGAGCTACAAGGGATAGGAGGAAGTGGAGGGCCATGATTGCCTACGTCCTGAAGGGACACGGCACATAAAAAGAAAAAGTTTGTTGCAACAAGAAGTAGGACTATGAAATGCCCCTATGAAAACAAGAAACACCATAAAATATTTGTGAAGATATATACATATTCTGTTATTTTTTTTATTTTTTTTTTTTTCATGCATGTACATTCTATACTGAAGAGTCATGTTTTAAATAGCCTAGTCAGATCTAGACTTTCAGATGGGTGCCAGGAATAGCGCCAAGCTAATTCAGAAATGCATAAACTGTCAGCTGTGTACAACCTCTTTCTCAGATCAATGATTAAAAATAGCTTTGAGTGAATGAAACCTGTAGGTTTTAACAGAAACCACATCACTTAAGAACTTTCAACAGCAATAACAACTAAAAATGGATAGCACGTGTAACTTGAAGAGAAAATGACATAATCAAGCGTGACGATAAACATTCGCACTTACCGGATTCGAAGCGTCCAAGATGTTTTGCTTGTCCGGCTGCTGTTTTATGATGGATATGTGCTTAAAACCAAGCTAGACAGTTCGTCATTTCATCAGATACAACCTTTCCTCTCGCAAGTTTGGTCCAAGAAAAGTACATTCTCTGACATTTGTTTATTTTATACTGCTTGGCACGATTTATCTAGTGGCGGTCTGCATGCTGATTGGTCGAGCTGGGGACTCTGATTGAGAACGAGGCCAACGGCGATGATTGGTGCGTTGACAGTGTTTTTGGTCAATAAAAACGGTCTGGGAAATTGGCTGGCAGTGCAGCTGGGACCGTGGTGACGTGCACTGTTATAGAGTTTTGTATTAAGTTACAACTCTGTTTATTTTTGTGTGGAAGCTGGACGCTAGCTTTGAACCTCCCGCTAGAGTGAGCGGTGTAATTACCGGTGTCTACGTGGGAGGAACACACTGAATGTCAACATCAAGATGTTGACATTCCACACTACTCCAAACAAAAGGTTAGGAAGGAAACTCCTCTCCCCCATCAATAATAGAAAGAACAATAACAATGGACTTGAGAAATCTATTTTACTGAAAAGTTGTTTTAATAGAAAGATTTTATAAATTCCAACCAGCAGAAGCATTAGTTGCTCAATCACTGAATGCCAAATGTTTCCGTATAAGGAAACTGCTAATATTACCATCATCAAAACATACCAAGAGACCTGTTTATTATTTGCAAGAAGTGGCTTTGACAAATATTTAAAATAAATGCAATTCTATAAGGTCATAACAGATGTAACAGCAAAATTGTCTAATTGTTAGATTAACCTCTGAACCATTGTATCTTAGAATTGATTAAAGAAATCTTACTGGAATTCACCAAGGTTTTTATAATTATATTGGGCTCTACTTTGAGCAATAAGAATTTTTTATTACTCTCTAAGCTTAACAGAAGTATCGTGATGAAATCAATCATAAACAAAAATATGTTCATCATTAATTAATGATAGCTAAGGATTGGAAGCTCATGAAGTATTGAAATAAAGTTCAAATATATATTTATTATTCCAGGATTATTTTCCAACTCATTTAAGATGATCTTTGCCCTCTCTAACCTTCTAACTTTCTATCCTGGAGTAAGGTGTCTCACAGGTTTCATGTACAATTAATTTTCAAGTCTTTTTTTTTCACTGCTCTTTGGACTATCATAGCTGAAACTCCTTTCTATCATGTGTCAAACGTCTTACGGATCAAGTTGAATCTTTTCTAATTGATCTCTGTTGATAGTTCTTGAATAGACTTTGAAGATGGAAGCCAAAATATGAATGTTGGTACCATTAGTAAAGGCCTGATCTTTTTCCTCTCACCATTGCTCAGTTGGGAAGATGTAGTGGGACTGACACAAAACAATTTTAACTTGCTCTCTTTTTCGCTGAATAACTCAGAGTTTTTTTGTTTTTTTTTTTTCTTAGTGATTCTTACAAAAAAAATGGTGTCAAGACGGCTAAACGTCTTATCTGAAAACCTGGATAAAAGAAACTCGATTAGTTTTTTAGATGTTAAACATTTTGTGGGATGGATAATTATGCTGTTACACCTGATATATCTGCATTGATTACTCATAAAGTACTGACACTCTTCAATTGATTGTTGATTCTATCAAAATTGTTGCTCGGTTTTCTAAATACTGTATATTTCCACATATAAGGCAACCGATAGATAAGACGAGACCCAAAATCAAGGTAAATTTGAATGATTTTATCCCTTATCCATGTTATAAGATGAATGACTGGGATGTAAATGATGATTTTTACATAATCTTTGCATTACATAGTGATGATTATCGTAGTTTTGAAAGTTTTTAATTATGTATTTGAGTATCTTATGTTTTTATTCTGGAATGATAAATAAACATTTTATAGCATCTTAAATATTGCTTAACACCGCAAAAAAATGCCATATAATTTGTTATTGAAAAATAAATTTTGCATGTTGTTGTTATTGAACACCACAATGATAATGAATTTTAATTAGAAATATACATTGTATGTTACCCTAAATGTCATTATTTAACGCAACCATAAGAAATAATGATTGGTGTGAACACACCCATAGCTCTGCAAATCAAGAGCGAAAGATTTGTTTATGTTACTTGTGTGTGCTGTACAGCATAGCTTTTGCGAATTGTTGTGTAATCATCTCTTGAATATTACATTTTAAGGTGAAATCAAGAAATAAAAGTAGTTGATTATGTCATTTTCTCTTCAAGTTACATTTATAACTGTAGTAAAAAGCATTATAATATGAATTGTTTCAACTAGAAATATTTACATCAGTAGTTACCATACTGAGGCAGTTGTTAACCTACAGTGATCCATGGCACACACATACTAGCCTACTTACCAGTGCCGATACACCACAGGAGTTAAGGTTAGCTTTATGTAACTGTTGTATTAAACAACCTCCTATTTGGGAGGGTAACTTTTAAGATTTAAAGGTCACCTTTATATACCAAAATATACAGCATCTAAAAGGAATATAATCCCACACAAGTTAACTACACTTTGTATCAATTATAAGAAAATGATTCTGACATTTTTCAATTGGCCCAGGATTGTTGATACTCTCAGAACTGTTGCTTTCAAACAATTAAGAAAGTAGATCTGTTTTATAGTTATAAAAATTAACAAAAACATAAACAAGTATAAAATTTAAAATTAAATTCTTTTCTTAAATTATGGTTCTTAAGGATTTCTGGAGATTTTCTTTTTCTCAAAATACCGTACTAATTTACATAGTGTATACAAATTCTTCTTAATCCAGAACTTTTTCAATGTCAGTTACTTCATTTATTCCTATTCAGACCTTTCCCAAGGGTATTAGTGTGAAGTGAATACATATTACCTCAGAGTTTGAATCTGACCCTTAATTTCATGGCCACTCACACCTCTACTGACCTTTTTTTTTTTCTTTTTTTTATGAAAATGTTTGCATCAAAATCAACAAGATAATTCTATCTTCTGTTGTTGTTGTATAAAAGGATGCCCCCTTTTTTATTCTTGGCTAGAAAAATAGGTTTTACTTTAAATTAACCTGTGTTGACCTCTAGTGGACTCATTAAATCCATCAATACTGGGTCAATTATTAAGAAAGAATGCATTTTTCTGATTAGTCTTGTTTGTAATTGCTTTAGGCTTGAAAGCTTTAGAGGAATGTAATTATTAGTAGTAACAACGAGTGACATGTTTTTCCACTTTCCATCTTATATTTGAACTCTTAAAAAAAAAAAAGCATTGATGCAGACATATCTCTTGAGCTATGAAATAAATGAATCTGCCAATCCATTCCATTTCGATGGTGGTAGTAAATTTAAGTTTTGTTGACTAAAATTTATATTTTATAAGCTTATAGTTTATCAAGGTTGTAGAAATGTTATTTGACTAAACCATAAGTATTTACAAAAGATGGTGATAAAATGTCTGATTAATGCAGAGGAAAAAACTCTGTGTTTTCTGATTATCATTAAATAACTAGTGTACCTGTGCCATCAAAAATGATAGCAATTGTTAAAAAGAATGAGACAAAAGTCTTGATTGAGATTCAGTAAAGCAGAGATAAATAATTCACAACTAAAATAGAGGCCAATGAACTGTTAACCTGTTAGCTTTATATTTTTTTTAGGCATTCAGTGGTATCTATGATTCATTGATTACTCCTGGTATTATGTAAATCGCTCTTTGCTCAATATCTGTTCATGTTAAAAATTTTGTGTGCTTAATATAACAGGGAAATATCTCTAAAAAGGAAAAGATTAGCAATAAAATGACAGTCAGAAATGACAAAACCTATATCAAGACCAAGCTGAAACAAGACAATCAATTAATAGATAAAGGTATCTGAATGCCTCACATGAAAGGCTTGAACAAATAAGACTGCAATCTGAGAAATGTGGGAGTAAAGGAACTGGTTAATTAAAGGTTTCATTTTGCTCAGGAACTAATTTTGTCTACATGCAGATAAATTATTTTATTTGTATAGATTATTAAAATGACTAAGGGAAGTAATCACACTAAATTTACTAACTTGATTTACCTCCCTTCCCACTACAGCTGGGACAGGAAATATATAAATACATACACATTGATAATTATTATATGGTTTGATAATATATAGGCTTACATCCACATCACATTGGAACACTGGTTCCCGTATGATCATCAAAGTTAAGCAATGTGAGGCCTGGCCAATACCTAAATGTGTGACCACTTGGGAATACCATGTGATGTAAGTTTGGATGTGCGGGTGGTGTAATGGATAATGGTTCAGAATTGTTAATCAGAGAGCCAAGTTCCAATTCTAGTTGGGTTCATTGTATTCATTTATGTGCAAATACCCTTGGAAAAGGTATGAATCCACCTCTTCTCTCCCCCAGCTATGGGTTAATTAGTAAGACTTGTATCACTAAATCATTATCTCAAAAATAATTCTTACAATCTAAAAATATTTTCTGACTTTAAATAAGCTGTAGAAAACCAATCAATCATAGTATATAGTCACATAATACCCATAAAAATGACTTCTGTATAGATCAGTAAATGTGTTCTCTGTTACATCCTGTTACTTCTGCTTAGAATGAGTGGTGTAGAGCCAAAGGAGAGAGAGAGAGAGAAAAGAAGGAAAAAGAATAGTGAGAGAGTATGAGACAAGAAGAAATAATCACAACAGTCTATACATGTGCACATACATACACGTACAAATGTGTGTGTGTGTATATATATATATATATATATATATATATATATATATATATATATATATATATATATATATATATATATGCCTGATTTAATAAATTACAGACATTATGTCTGCTAATTTTTAATAAAATCCATACATACTCACAAGTAACCTTCTGTGTATTGATGTTAAAGGATTAGAGAAATGTGCTATAGCTGTTTAAATTTCTTTTATTTTCATTTCTCAAGTATTTTCGATCTTTATCCAAGATCATCTTCAGGGGTGAAATTAGTACAAAACTATATGTTCATTAGTATAAGTATTTAATAAAGATGTGTGTTGTTATCTATTACTGTAATTTTTTTTTTCATTATGCTTTTAAATGCAAAATGATTGACAATGTGCTGAGCATTCACTAGAACGTGAAAAAATTATCCATTATGGAATTTTTTCTTCTATGTTATAATGTCACTGTCATGCACACATTAAAGCATAATGACCTAACTACCATTTTACATACATACATAAGACCTAACTGTGCTATATAGAAAAAATATAATGGACTACATAAAGAAAGTTGAGATTGAAACATTATACCAAAATACAATTAAACTCCAGGGACAGCAGTTAATTACCGCAGAACCAGAAATCCATGATCTACTTAAAGCAGAATATATAAAATAATAATAAAAAGGAAAATTCATCTAAATTTTTTAAATAAATCACTAAAGATTACTGCAAAAGAATTACGGAACCACCCAGAAATAGTAATTAAAAAGGCCGATAAATTAAACATCTTTGTCGTCTTAAACAAGTCTGACTACAACTCAAAAATGGGACAGTTACTTGATGATCACACCAAATTTAGAAAATGTACTAATAATCCTACTACTCAGCTAAAAGTGAAAATTAATAAAATAATCACAGCTACCAATGCGAAACAAGACAATCTAAAACTTACCAAAATAATCGGAGACTATAAACCAGGATATATTTATGGTTCTATCAAAATGCACAAATCTAACTTTCTACACTGCCCTATTATATCTCAAATTCCCATTCCTATCTACCAACTAACTAAAATGTTTAACCAATTAATTACACCATACATACCTAACAAATATAGCATTAAATCAACCCTTGAACTTATACAAATATTAAAATAATAATAAAACCATAGCATCACGTGACGTTGAAAATCTGTTCACTAACGTTCCAGTCAGAGAAATGATTGACATTATTATCAAAAATATATAGTAATTCATCTCTACCCTTATTAAAAATTAAGCCTAAATTTAGTTAGCAAAATATTAATCATTTGAGAGACCTCTTTCTGCTTTCCATCAGCATGGCCAATGCTAACCTCCAAAAAGGAGAGTGACTTGTGCCTTCTTGGTATAACATGAAATGAAAATGACATGAAGTGGAAAGACTGTATTGAATGCATTGCTAGGTCAGCTGCTAGGAAAATTTGGTTCACTGTGTTATGCTAGACAATTTTTATCTCTAGATCTGTGTCTACCATTTGTTCATGCTTCAAATATTGCTGCCACATATTGTCCAGTGCTCCTGCTATATATTTAGAGATCCAAGGAAGAATCTGCAATATTATTGGTCCTGACCTGGCATTATGTCTTCAGTCACTTTCCCACCACTGTAAAGTTGCCTCCTTGTGCCTTTTCTATAAATACTTTCATAGTCATTTTTTTTGAATGAGCTCTTTGCTATGGCACCTAGACTTTATAAATTAAAGTACATTGTCAACAATGTCTCATCATTTTACAGTTGAAATGGCTAGATGTAACCATAAGTTCTATGCTAATGGTTTCTTTTCTCACAGTTCTATGATTTTTCTAAATAACAATGATTTTTCCAGATAGAAGTTCTACTATTTAACTCATAGTTGAGAAGAGATGAATTCATACTTTTTCAAGGGTATTTTTAAGTGAATGTAACAAACACTATTGGAATTTGAACTCTGCTCTCTTATTTCTCATTCCGAGCTGCTATCCATTACACTACCTGCACATCCACCCCTCAAAAACATTTATAGGTTGAGTCATCAGATGAGTCACAATATAATAAATTTTGCTTTTTTTTATTTACATTAACTTAAATTTGTAGGTAGAAGACATGAATAGAAAACACCTTCCAGTTGATGACAATGTTTTGTCAGAAAGTGCAAAAAATTTTAATGACATAAAAAAAAAAATTTTTTTCAGGTGAAAATGTTTGGACATACCTAGAAAGTTCTTACCCTCAGATTTTACCATCTGAGAGGAACTGAGCTATCTAAAGATTAAAATCTGGCTGTACTCAAAAGTGTTTTAATCCCTTTTTTTATAACTATCTGCCCATAGCTGGGACCCTAACAGGTGCTACCACCCCAGGTTAGGGTGGACCTGGAAACACCATCAATTAAGAGGTGGTTCCATACTCCTAAAAACCTACTGATCAAAGGCCTTGCTATCGGATATTGTTTATCATCTTACCCAGGATGCTCTAGACATTAGAATGAAGATGATGTCTCACTGCAGTATATTCAGCAACATGGCTTCACGATTGAAGGGTATGGTAGTATGACCAAATAACATATCAGTGGTAAATGAATTTTTGAATAAAGCAAGAACTCCCAATGACTGAATTTCAATTTGAATATTTTCTATCTCCCTAAAATTTAAAATAACCGCCTATATAAAGGTGACTGACCATTTCATAACCTGGACATATACTCGTAACGCTCAAACCGCCTTTCTTCTTCAGTCACTATCTTAGCTAAGCTTGTTGAGTAACACCAACCTTATGTTTGTCCGGCTTTCTTTTCCCTCTTTGGTTGGGGCGATTCAGATTTCCCAAAATCTTATGATATTGGGGTTCATGGCGACGTCTAGTGGTGGACCAAAATGTACGTTGTGTAACACAGATAAGAAAATGAGCAATTCTTAACTGCAGCCATAGTAAGTTTTGTTGCTGTGTCTGGGACAATGTCAGGAATAAACACTGGAATAAAAACTCCTTCAATAAAATGAACAACACTGTTAAAGCTTTCTTCTGGCTTCTTGTTTCCCAGTCAACTTTGATATTCAAAAATTTTAAATGCAATGTCAATCGGTTACCTTCTGTCTTCTTAATTCCTGTTCTTTTATTGTTTTCTCACCTTAATGTTTTCTTTTTCTCATATTATTTTACACTCAGTAACCCCTTGCATCTTAATGGCTTTATTGCCTTTATGGGGGGGAAAAAAGGACTGATTTTTTTCTTACTTTGTCATGAGATATTGTTACTATTTTAAGTGAAACTTGTGCACATATTGGCATCAAGTAATATCTCATATTATTAGAACAAGGTATTATCTCAAATACGAGAGATATAAATATGTGACTAAACGGTCATATTTTGTTTCATAGATAAACAGAGAAAGGTTAAATTTTCATCATGATTCTTTATTAATGCTTGTAAAATTTTTTAGAAATGTCTTTATTGGATCTTTGCCTGAAAATTAAATTAAATATGTGAATAAACGTTTCTTACTTATAAGGTAATTTTTGCATTGAAAAAAAAAAATGACATGGGAATAACAACTCTAAGCTGAATAGAAGGCAAGGATGTTTTTTTAAGATGTTTCATTTTGTTGTTTTTAGAGCTTATACCCTCATGAATTTCCATTGTCGCTTCGTATATGAAAGGTAAAAAGGCAGCTGACCTGATTTTAGTGACATATTTATTTGTGAATGTTGCTTTCAGGCTCTAAATTATGTAGGTAAGAGTATATATATGTATCTCTGTCAAATATGTAGAGGTAGGAATGTACCAGCACATGCCTGCTGCTATATATATATATATATATATATATATATATATATGAGGGGAGCATGAAAAGTCTTTTTTTTTTTTTTTTTTTTTTTTTTTTTTCATTGGCTGACATTGACTGACATATGTCAATAAGAAGGTCGGTCTCCTTTTTCTTTTTTTTTTTTTTTTTTTTTTTTTTATCCAATGTTGAGATGTGTAACACGGCACTTTCAAGGAGGCTACCTGACTCGTCCAGAATCAGGTCGGGTTGCTGTTTGAGCTATGATGCAAAACCCGAAATTGGCGATGAGGACAGTGCATCACTGAAAACCACCCTTGATGCATCTAAAATGAATTATTCAAGTATACAAGATTCATCAAATACGACAGACAAGATGCTTTAAGTTTTTTTATATAATTTCTTGTGATCTTATAATTTTTTTCTTTTCAGTAGATAAATTATATAAAAACTGTCTAAATGTCATATTTTTCTGAGATCACATAAGAAATATATATACATAAAAACCTAAGCAAAGCACTTTGTTATATTTAAGGAAACTTGAATGAAAGAATTGCTGCCTATATATATATATATATATATATATATATATATATATATATATATATATAGAGATAGAGACTATGAATAAAAATCTTACAAAATGATAGGAAAACGAACAAGTAGGAAATAGATCTTAATCTAATATGTTTTATTCTGTTAAAACTTTATCAGAGATCAAGATAAAAATGATTAAAAGC